GAGGGTAACAAGGTCAAGTGGTATGTCGATGCTCTGGACTACTTGTGGGCCGTCTCAATGGCTCTAGAGGAGGCCAAAGAGACCATCTACATTGCCGATTGGTGGTTGTCTCCTGAATTGTTCCTCCGGAGACCCCCGTTCATGGCCCAAGAGTGGCGGTTGGATCAGATTCTCAAGCGTCGCGCCGAGGCGGGTGTCAAAATTTACGTGATTGTGTACAAGGAGGTTAGTCAGGACGTCTTTCGCCTCGCGAATGGGGTTGCTAAAAGGATTTGATTTAGGTCAACCAAGCATTGACTTGCAATTCCGCTCATACCAAGCACGCGCTTCGCAATCTCTGTCCCGAAGGAAGCCCTGGTTACGGAAACATCAAAGTCCTGCGCCATCCGGATCATAACATCTTCGAGAATGCAGCTGACATGACCTTGTACTGGGTGAGTTTAAGTCCAAAAGCAGCCGGCAGCGCGTGCTAACTTCATCAGGCGCATCACGAGAAATTCATTGTCATCGACTACGCGTTGGCGTTCATTGGAGGTATTGATTTGTGTTTCGGAAGATGGGACGCTCATCAGCATCCCCTCGCCGACGTCCACCCCTCGAACTTGCGGAACGAGGTCTTCCCCGGACAGGAATTCAACAACAACCGCATCATGGATTTCCAGAGCGTGGGCGACTGGCAGGCCAACGAGCTTAGCAAGGCTGAGTATGGTCGAATGCCTTGGCACGACGTCGCCATGGGTGTGATGGGTGACTGTGTGTATGACATCGCAGAGCACTTCGTCCTGCGGTGGAATTTTATCAAGCGGGACAAGTACAAACGGGATGACAGTGTGGACTGGCTGATGCTGGAGGGTCGTACTGGGGACGACGAAGATCTGGTTGCCGTTCAGCGTCCGAAGTTCCCGTGCGGCGAGTACCTGCAGCACCCTCTTACGCCTCTCGACACGAAGCCGCTCGGCCAGCAAGGCTTTGCACGGGCGCAGATCGTGCGCAGTAGCGCCGACTGGAGCAGTGGAATTTTGACGGAACATAGCATCCAAAACGCTTACAAGGAGATCATCAGTCAGGCTCAGCACTATGTCTACATTGAGAATCAATTCTTCAGTAAGATTGTTCTCCCTGAGCACTGCACCAACAGCTAACCCCATCAAGTCACTGCCACGGGAGACAAACAGGCGCCCATTCTCAACACCATTGGTCAATCCATCGTCGAGGCCGTTGTCAGAGCTGCCAAGGAGGGAAGAAAGTTCAGAGTGATCATCGTGATTCCCGCCATCCCTGGATTTGCGGGAGACCTCCGCCAGAATGAAGCGACAGGCACCCGCGCCATCATGGACTACCAGTACAAGTCGATCTTGCGCGGTGAACACTCCATCTTCGGCCAGATTTCCGCCCAAGGCGTGAATCCCAGAGGTAAGGTGAACTTCCGTCCGTACCAGACGCAAGCTGACGTAGCTAGAACACGTTTTCCTGTTCAACTTGCGCGCATACGATCGCATCAACAAGACCCCTGCTCTTGTCAAATTGGAGTCCGAGGCGGGCGTGACTTACAACGATGTTCAGCGTGGCATTGCCGAGTCTATCATGAGTGACAGTGTCCACCCGGCTATCGGCAAAGAGGGCGACAAGCATGAAGTGGGGTATGACAACGCACAACAGGAGAAGGAGGTTCGTCTCGCACGGCTGCGCAAGTACGAGGAGCAGCATGAGCGTCACAAGGAGCTGGAGGGCCTCAAGGGTAGCGACTCCGTCGCCCACACCACCATGCTCAATGGCGGCAAGATGTCCGACGAGCCGTGGGAGGGCAATCCCGAGGACGAGAAGGAGAATTTCATCCAGGAAGAGCTCTACGTGCATGGAAAGGTGTGCATTGTCGATGACCGTGTTGTCATTTGTGGAAGTGCCAACATCAACGACAGAGTATATATCGCCCGTCCTGAACCTTCATATACGCGATACTGACCGATAGCAGTCCCAACTTGGTTACCATGATAGCGAGCTTGCTATTGTTGTTGAAGACCAAGACTTCATCGGCAGCACCATGGATGGTAAACCGTACAAGGCCGCCCGTGTTGCTGCCACCCTCCGTCGCCAGCTCTGGCGGGAGCACCTTGGCCTGCTGCCCGCTCAGAACTATGACGCTTCTGAAGACCCGAATGCAAAGCCCCCCTACATGTGCATGAACCACATCCTCGAGGGACCTGAAGACGACTTCGTCACTGATCCTATGAGCGACGAGCTCTGGGAGATGTGGACCGGCCGTGCCACCGTTAACACCGACATGTACCGCATGCTATTCCGCGCCGACCCCGACGACAACGTCCGCACATTCGACGACTACGACCGAATCTGTCCTCGCGGCATCAAGCAAGGTCACTTGTTTGATCCCTTCCAGCCGGTCAATGAAATCCGCGAGAAGCTGGATAAAATCAAGGGCCATCTGGTCTGGATGCCACTGGAGTTCTTGAAGGATGCCAACATGGCCGAACCTGGATTGGCGGTGAATCAGATCACAGAGGTGATACTACCTACCTACCACCTACTTACCGATTTATGTGTGAAACATGAGCTAACGTATCACAAATCTCATCTACAGAGTATCTACACCTGAGAAGAATTTTGCCCCCAGCACGGAGTACCGATGGTTAATCAACAGGTTGTACTTGCTTTACATACCTAGTGCCTAATAGTACATACCATTATCATACCCGCCACCGACGCCACAGACTAAACCTCGAGGAGCAAAGAAAAGGAGAAAAACGAACCGTCTAGAAGATTACCTACGTAGAGACTAGACTAACCTCCACCCCGAAAGGGCCCGTGCCCACACCACGGATCAGCCAGATCCTCCTGCCATTCCATCCCGTCTCATCCCCATCCCAAGCCCATGGTCCATCCATCCATTCCATAATCCTAAATCCATCCTACTTAAATTCTAATGATCCATAGTGCCCAACTCAACCCACCCCTCCGGGAATAGTAAGCAAAGTAAGCAATGAAAGTTTACCTGCGATGCGGAGTACATGAACCTTCCACGCAAGGGGTAGTAGTGGTAGTAATGGGTGAAGGAGAAGGGAGAGAGAGAGACCGAAAGACCGAAGAAGTGAAAGAGATACACACACACACACACACACACACATACCTAAGACCAGCAACCAAGTACAGTTCATACATACATACATACATACATACATACATACATCCCAAGCATGCCCATCCCAAGTAACTTCCCCCGTGAATCAAGTAAAAATTAATAAATTATCCCATACCTACCTACCTACCTACAAGTTATCTAGGGATTTTCCTGAACTCTAATTGCAAGGGATGTTTTATCCGGAACCACACCCTCCCCCCCTCCTCCCTCTCCTTCTCACGTCCTATTACCCACTTTGGTATTCGGGATTTGACATCTCACATACTTTAGTTGCAGGGCTTACAGTAGTTACCTGGTAAGCAAATAAGCAGGCAAGCAAGCAAGCATCACTTATTTTCCCTTCCATACTTAGTACATTTACATGATACATATTTATTTCATACATACATACGTTGCGCATGCATGACAGACAGACAGATAGATAGATAGATAGCCCCGGTTATGTTTCCTGGTAATGAGTATCTAGTACTACTTAGAGTATGTATGTATGTATGTAGATGATTCGGTAGTAAAATAATGATTGAAAATAAAACAAAATCCTAAAAGAGAAAAAGTAGACGACCTTTTATACGCCACGACTTCTACTTACTAACTAAACTCATCTAAGTAACTGTAGAGTAACTACTATCCGTAGGTTAGGTAGTATTTATTTAATAACTAGTACTAGTCAAACTACTAACAAACTAATCAACTATATCCTCAAGTGATATTTATTTATTTTTTTTCTCTTTTATTCTGTTATTTTCTTTTTCGAATTGACTTCCGATACATCATGCAACTCACCCGATTTGGTAAGTAAAGCTGACTGGGGTAGTCTAGTTGTTGAGTTGGTTGGACTTAGAGTGTAAATTTCCTGTTTGGTGTTTGGTGGGTGTGGCTCATCTTTTCCCTATTTTTGCGGGTCGGAAGGAGGCCGGGGCGCGGCGGCCCACTTTTGCTTGTCATTAAGGAATTGTCATTATTATTAGTGGGGAAATTATTGACGGGGATAAAATTTAATTTGGGTCAAATAGATAGTTTGTTTATCGTAAAGTATGTTAGTTATTTTATGTCTGGGGATCTTCGTGTGTCATGTCATTTCTAGCGTATTTGGAACTTGCCAAGGAAAGGGAATGTGTCTACGGAATTGTGAAGGGAGTTTCAAATGCCATTAAATTTGCGTTGCCGCATTGTATTCCTGATAAGGATCTATAAGTCATCTCTATCGCACAGAAAAAGATATTTCAGTAAACAAATAGAAAAAGAAAGGGCCGAGTGTAATAAGACAAGGAATGCAAGGCTCTCTGAAAGGAGGCGCCGGCATTGGAATTGAATCACCAACAGACCGTTTGTTTCGGAACCCTGAACACCAGAGCCATGCTGCTTTTTGTGGCGAAAGTAGATCGTGGACATATGAATTTCCGGCCGTGGCTCAGCATCAGAAGGACTTTTGGGACTTTTCGTCGGGAAAGCAACATAAGAATCGATGGCAAAAGCACGAAAGGGGGCGGAAAACGAGTGGAGAGAACGATATTAGTGGTGGAGAATGGGGGGAAACACTGCTTGCACCGCGTTTGCAGTTACAGGCTCAGACGCATCTCCTTTGGTCGCGAGACATCGAGTGGTATCAAATCACAATCAGGTAGCCACAGCTTGATGTTGATCGATTGAGATCTGGCCCGAATAGGAAGATATCCGATTGGGCCAGGCCACAAAGCAGAGGCGCTCTTCCGTCGACCCTACTCCGATCTGGAACGCCAACAAACCGAGGGGACAATGCGCAGTATGCCGCAGAGATGGAGGAAAAATTTTTTTAACGAGTTGCAGGAGAAACCGAACCGAATGGAGAAGCAAACGAAATGGGAAATTAATTAAAGTCAAGTCGCGCAAGAAAAGGCTGATAGGCTTTCGGCAGGTATGGCGCGAGGAGTGCTGCAGAAGGCTTTTTCGAAGTTCCAGGAAATGTACGAATCAAACTAGGAACAGAGGTTAGCTTATAGTTTCACAACTGGTACACAGCCTTCCACAAACAAATAGCAGTCAGGCCACTTGCACACTTACCGATTAAGAGGCAAAAAAGCATGCGTGACGTGATTCTTCTTAGCCTTTGGCGGTGTGGCAGGAGTTGCAGCGACAGTGGTTACAGATCTTGCAGCGCCAGATGGCGACAAACGGACCGGAGTTGCAGTCAGAGCATCGCCAGGTAAGGATATTCCCGTTTGTCGCCTGCACGATGACGAAAACGTGACCTGAGCATTGGTTGGCCATTTCGTCGCTATTTGCAGCATGTTAACATCCTTCCAATTTGCGCGTTGCCAGGAACTGGAAGTTATAATGAGGATCCTTCACATACTGAATTCTGTCTCAGAAATGGTGGATGTAGAATTATGCGTAAGCTGCGCAAAATTGCAGTGATACGAGCTAATTCTCGATAGTCAAGTACTGGAGCCGAAGGGATGAAACGCCCTGGAACTTCTCAAGTTGCAATGCAAAGTAGACGGCCTTGTTGTCCCTGAGTGTGTAGATGCAGGACACAATGGAAGACCTGAACTGAGGAAGACGACAAAGAGTTGTCTGAGAGTCAAGGAAGAGAAGGATGAAGGGAAGAAGGATGTAGTTGTTGATGGTGGATGAAAGACAAAGGACGTTTGGGATGCGTCGCCATAGCTTTATATAGAGGACGAGGTTTCAAATTGGACCAGCGCATGAGACATCTCCTTTTTAGTGATGCGATGGGTGCATTGCTTCGGATTGACCGTTGTTCAGAGAAGGTCCCAGCAGCTGTACGAGGTCCAGACTAGAAGCAGGTCTGCTGCATGGAATGGCTCTTGCCGTCCGCAGGGAATCGAACTGCAAGTACCCGAGGCTGTCGACGGGTCATTAATTGAGTGGAGAAAGCGACAGAGAGTTGAGTGATGGATAACAAGCGACAGGGAAGAGGGTGTTGTGAGGTGAGGAAAGGATCCAGCGATGTGAAAGGAGAATGTGATGGACAAAAACAGAAATATGGGGGAGGTTGGTAGCAGGAACGAGGGTGTGCAGATGAGGAGAATTCGGGGAATAAGCTGTCAGAAAAGATATTAAGTAGTTAGTAAATTATAGTAGGAAAAAGAGCAGCCCTCTCTTTACGCCGTGAAAGAGAGAGAGAGAGAGAGAGAGAGAGAGAGAAAGAGATCCATGGGTGAGTGCCGGACCCCGAAAAGGCAAAAGAAAGCACACGACCACCTACATCATCCTCACGATCACAGCCCATCTCCTATCCTAGTCAAACCGCAAATCTGGGTCTGGGAAAGCGCGACACAAGCTAATCCAGGAACCTAGTCTAGAAGGAGATGATGGAAGTGATATATCGCCGCCAGTGGACCCAACCAAGTGGGTGCGGAACTGTAGGCGACAGCCGCTTATTCCTTAATTACTTTTTCCCTTTTTATTTGCCCTTGGGTGTGTTGCTTTTTCTCTTCTGCGCTCGCATCTTTAAGCTTTCGCCCCTAAAATTAGGATTTCCCCAGGAAGGAGCTGAAGTTCGACCCGGGAATGCCTGGACTTTGGATCTGGACCCCCATTCCCGATTCATGCGCTTCCGTTTGGGGGCTGAGCTGGTTCCAGCCCTGCGGTGCGCTGCGACTTTGGCGTGCAGATCGGCCCCGACGCTGTTTATTGTGTCTATCCTGGTTCTCGAGAGCATCGGCCATCCTGATGGAGCATCAAGTAAGTCCCCATTCTGAAGATGGTTTGTTACCTTTGTTGTGATAAATCTCCTCATCCTCCACCCTTAATCTCCATCTTTCCCAGTCTCTAGTTGTACAGAGACAGAGACGGACGATTTTCCAGTTCCCACCAGGTTGGTAGAGGATGGGGCACGTCCCAAGAGAATATTTGGGGAATGATAGACAGGTCTCTGTCAGTTCAGTCAGAAAAAAGTATCCCTGTTTGTCACTCTGAATTTTCAGAAACGTCATGCCCAGCCGATTTGGGAAAGCCGGACTATCTTAGTGTCGTCCATGAAGACCAGCTCATCTCCGGTCTATCTGATCAGGATGCCCCATCTGCTGAGCTTCTACCAACTTGTTTGATCTTGTAACATCACCGAGCTGCTCCGGTTGTCAAGTTGACAGTGTCTTTTCTGTCATTTCGACTCCTCTCACGGCCCACGACAGGAGCACACATCGACATCCTCTTACAGTCGATCCACCATCACCAGCAGGGATTCCCCGACCGGACAAACAACAAGTACACAGGCATATCTTTTCGCCTTCAAGCCAAGATCTGCATCGCATCGTCCTTTCATTCATATCCCCCTTCGTACCTTCTACTCCTGCACCCGTCCTTCCGTCTGCATATCCTTGACTCTACCTGCAACCCCCCTCAATGTACGATGCAGAGAACGTTCCGGGCGTTGGAGGTAAAGACTTCCCAGCGAACTAAATTCTTTGATGAATTAGTCTCTACCTTCTCGGGCTCCTTGCTGATCCGTGGCCGATCAGTCCGGGCATTTGCAGAGGACCCGCGGGCCCGCCAACCAGGTACGTTTTGGAGTGGCTTGCTGAAGGGATTGTCCAGTATCCAGCGATACCTCTAAGGTTATCTCAGCCACTAGCCCACTAACCTTCGAAGTGGCACAGGAATTTCGGGAATGGCAAGCTGAGGTATAGAAAGACAAGGAAAAGGACAGAAGAAAAACTCTGTCTGGTGTGACAGGAACGGGTCTGCCAATCCTGCAAGCACGTACTTTTGTCCGTTGCGGCTGGCCTGTTTCTCAAACCGTCATCGCTTGCTAATTTCCTCACTTTCAAGCGAGGCCCGGAGGATAGTTGACCTGCGGGAAATCCTCCGCTCACCAAAATTAGTCGGACGCGTCGATCCCTCCAACTGAGTCGCTGAATGCCAGGGGTCCGCTCCATTTGGAGGAGCTAAATGCTTTGGCGCTGGATCTAGTCGGAGAGCCGGCTGGTGCTAAGGAGTAAATTCAAATTGCCGCGGCAAATCACAGGCGCCCGTCGCTCCAAGTTGACATCTCCGTGGCGCTCGCACCTAGATTCACTAGGCGTCTGAATGCCAATGAACTGAATGGGCACGCGGTGCGTCAAGTGCCCCGAGCTTTCTCCTCTTATGCTCCTTATTCAAGCATGAGACTGGCTCGCAATTCGGCCCGGCGCTCAGGCCAATTCTTACGCACATGGCTGGCAGTTGTCATCTGTCGTGAGATGTGTGACTGTTACATAACCTTCGCACGGCATAAGCCTGGGTCGGAAGCACTGGGCTCCCTGCTGATAACTCCCGGGGGATGTTTGAAGAGCCACGCCGCGGGATGAAAGGTGCGGCGTGTGTAAAACACCCCAGTCGTCCATGTCGCGCTCCACGGTTCGTGGTCCATGGGTACCCCTGTCGGGGGCCAATAAACACCAGAATGCAATAGGGTGGTATATCGCCGGACTGACATTGGTGCTCCGAATGGTTGAGTTAGTTTCACGGGTTCAGAGGGGACAGCATCCGCTTTTCTTCTCAATCAGGTAATGGTGAATTTGTCCCTAGTCGAAACTCGAACATTTGGCTGCACGCTTCCCTGATCTACCGGGAGTGGCTCCCGGGCATATTTCTGGTCCGGTGCGCTTCGGTCCCTACTAGTGTTGCCCCTAGGACCACTTGGTCTCCCATGGTGCTGGGCTTCGAGCTGCGTAGCCCGGTTCCGGTGACGCAAGGTACTTTTGGCTTCTCGATACGTCTTTTTGTTACCTTCCTATCATCAGGGCCGGAAGAGCGCCGCCCCCACAGCCATCGAGTTTTTCACAAACACCATTTGTTCGATGACCTGCCAAATGTGTAGTCCTGCGGTGGCGCCTGTAAACGAGCTGTTTAGGACCCATGTTCGACCGGGCTAGAACAACGGCATTCTTTCCCACGATTGTGATATCACGTACGAATGGCCGGGGAGAGTTTAATTGACCTGCCGTAGCTAATGTCTGCACGCAATTGCCAATTAGTCAAAGTTTACATGTCGGGGCCTCTTTCAATGCTTCCGGAAGGTGTCATCAGCATAGGATACCATCCATCACCATTTCGGCTAGCGGAAGGTACCGGTGTCAAGTGCAGCAGACAGTGAATGCTGCCGCCAACCAAGATGTACAAGTTGTGCGCTCAGCACTCGGCCTCACGCACACCGCTATTATTGTCATTAAACCAGATCATCAAGGATACGGAACATATCCACTGACTGGAACCGGGCAGCTGTCCGGCGGTTCCGCTGTACGACCTTTGATAGCCAGCCATTGAATGAAGACAAGTGCGAGGCGTCTTTCAGCTGGCTCCTGTCAAGCCAAACTACTGAGGACTATAGGCTAGATCTCTTTTTGCTCCCAAACCTGTTAGAACGATGCCGAACCTCGAGTAAGTTCCACCCGAAGGATACAGACATCCCATCCTGGGAAGCGTTGGAGCTGAGCTGGCGGACAGTCGAAACTATCACGCCACAATAGATCGATTCATGACAAATGTGGAAGCCAAAATTGTAATATTCAAAAACCTGTACATGCTAAACGACTACACTTAACGTATACTGTAATGTCCGAGATGTTCTCTTGCATCAGTTCCACTGGCCAAGGCCGCAGGACGTAAATCCAAGAAACTGATGCCTTCGTTCCTCGGCCAACCTTGTACAGCACCACTACCGTCACACACCGAATGGCATGAAAAGATAATGGGCCGGACAAGATTGGACAATTGATCTCCCAACGCTCCGTTAAGAACATCCTGTGAACTAGGTCCAGAGACAGATCTCCTTTCCAACAAAATGCTCTTGCAGTACCCAGAGTGGACTGCATCGCTGGTGTAAAGTTGTGACGTGTTCCTCAATTTCCGCGCCATTGCAAATTGACCGGCCTGAGTGCACCTACGCAGAAAGCAGAAATGACAAGGGAAAATGACAGCCTTGATCACAAGGGCTAATGAGACTAGGGTTCCGGGCCCCGTCCTGATAGATTCGACAGTAGAGCTAGTCTTCATAATCGACGTGTAGCTGGCTGAAATGTACAGCCGTCGCATGACCACACCGTATGGTTGAGTTTAGCTTCAGTCATGAGTTGTGAGTGAGAAAAGGTATCCTGATGTTATCATCACATAAGATGATGCTTGCGACACATAAATCGAAGCAAGGGAAGTCGCCATGCGCTGTACGGAATAAGGAAGAAGTCATCAATTTTACTCGTCACTGTCTTTAGTCATCATCTTACCGATCTCCAGGCATGTTATAGTGCTGCCAGGGATACTCGGGAGGAAAGTTGGAAGAGAAGGG